TTGTTGTTATACTGTCTGGGTGTTGTTGTTGTTGTTATACTGTCTGGAGTGTTGTTGTTGTTGTTATACTGTCTGGGTGTTGTTGTTGTTGTTATACTGTCTGGGTGTTGTTGTTGTTGTTATACTGTCTGGGTGTTGTTGTTGTTGTTATACTGTCTGGGTGTTGTTGTTGTTGTTATACTGTCTGGGTGTTGTTGTTGTTGTTATACTGTCTGGGTGTTGTTGTTGTTGTTATACTGTCTGGGTGTTGTTGTTGTTGTTATACTGTCTGGGTGTTGTTGTTGTTGTTATACTGTCTGGGTGTTGTTGTTGTTGTTATACTGTCTGGGTGTTGTTGTTGTTGTTATACTGTCTGGGTGTTGTTGTTGTTGTTATACTGTCTGGGTGTTGTTGTTGTTGTTATACATACTGGGTGTTGTTGTTGTTGTTATACTGTCTGGAATTTGTTGTTAATGTAATATTCATCATCATTAACTATTATACAATATGTCCAGGCATCCAATAATAAACTGTAACAATGATCACTGTTACAATACTACTACTGCTTTGCTGTCACTCGGAATCGAGTATGACGATCATCCAGCTATGATACAATGATATGAGTTATTAAAGATGTCACCTTCGTTGGTGAGCTCTGAGGTGACTAAAGAGGCTAATACGGGGCCGGCAGAGTTGTTTACTGATGTTGCACATGTGGAGGGCTACATCTAGTGCGGGAGGGGCGGCGGCAGCGTCTTTCCGGTGTTGGCGCTTGTCTGCCTCGGTTTGTAGTCGGGCTAACTCGGAAATATTGACACCTTCTCGTGTGGTGTTCCCCCAAGCGTTACGGTGTGGAGTAATCGTCTCCCAGGTGAGGGGGTCGATTTGGCACCTTTTCAGGTTTGTCTTAAGACTATCCTTATACCTTTTCAGTTTCCCCCCAGTGTTACGTTTACTATTCGTTAGGTGATGTAAAGTAGCTACTTTGGCAGTCTACTGTCGTCCATGCGGGTAACATGGCAAGTCCAGCGTAGTTGTTCATGGATAATGGTAGCCTCGGTGCTCCTACAGTTGGTGTCAGCAAGAATACTGGCATTTGTTCTTTTGTCTTCCCAGTGAACTCGGAGGATGGAACGTAGACTACGTTGGTGAAAGTTTTCAAGTGCCTTGAGGTGCCTCCTGTATGTGACCCATGTCTCACTGCCATATAGCAGGGTGGGAAGGACCACTGCTCGATATACGTGCAACTTTACAGATATTCTCAGCTCCCTACAACTCATATATCAAGAGTCTTCAATGTATTCATTACTTGAAGTTCCCGTATAATAGTAAATATATATATATATATATATATATATATATATATATATATATATATATATATATATATATATATATATATATACTGATATACTCTCTCTATACTGATATATATATATATATATATATATATATATATATATATATATATATATATATATATATATATATATATATATATATATATATATATATATTAAATAACATTGTTCCATACGTATCACATCTTAGACACACTGAAAACACTAACACAGGTGGATTAATTGTAGGCGCAGCACTTTACCACCTCCACACACACACGCACGCACGCACACACACACACACACACACACACACACACACACACACACACACACACACACACACACACACACAAAAAAGTGCAAAACAGGGCATGCAGATTATTCTCTCCCTTCCTACTCCACATATCAAGAAAGGCATTTCAACACACTGACCCTTTCGACTCTCACTGACCATCACCACGACCTCATCTGCAAGTGGTGAGAAGCTTCTGCACCCTCTAGCTACCGCTTAATCAGTCTAACATCAATAGTAGGCAAATTACTGGAAGCAATCATTTCAAACTCTATTCAAAATCACCTGGAGAAGCACCGATTGATCAATGATTCCCAGCATGGCTTCACAAGCGGACGTTCATGTCTAACTAATCTATTAACATTCTTTTCATCAGTTTTCGAATCGGTGGACGAGGGGCACAATTATGATGTGGTATATCTCGACTTTAGCAAAGCCTTCGACAGAGTCCTCCACGAAAGACTAATTAGAAAGGTAGAAGCACATGGCATCAAAGGTAATATCCTTAAATGGATTAGGGCGTGGTTACAGGACAGGAAACAGCGAGTGAGCATTAATGGTACTAAGTCCCATTGGACCAACGTCACAAGTGGAGTTCCCCAAGGCTCAGTACTTGGACCATTATTATTTATTATATACATAAACGACATAGATATAGGCGTAGACAACAACATAAGTAAATTTGCTGATGACACTAAAATAGAACGTGTTATTAAATCTGATGAGGACTCAGCAAAACTACAGGAAGATCTAAACAAATTTTTCGAATGGTCTGAAAAATGGCAGATGAAATTCAACGTGGACAAATGTAAAGTACTCAGTATAGGAGATGAAACAGGGAAACCAGATACCAGATGAACAAGGATGCCATAGAGAAATCCGACTGAGAGAGAGATTTAGGAGTAATGATAAGTAGGAACCTAAAGCCAAGTTAACAATGTGTTTTTGCTCGCAACAAGGCTAATAAAGTACTTGGGTTCATACAAAGGAGTGTTAGTTACAAGACTAGCGAGGTCATCCTAAAACTGTATCTTGCTCTTGTGAGACCACACCTGGATTACGCAGTTCAGTTCTGGTCACCGTATTACAGAATGAATATAGAATCCTTGGAAAGAATTCAGAGGAGAATGACAAGACTAATCCCAGGCATTAGGAACCTTGAGTACAGTATAGAGACAGGTTAAAGCATCTTAATTTGCACTCCCTTGAGAGGCGTAGAGCGAGGGGCGACCTGATAGAGGTGTTTAAGTGGAAGTCAGGGCTAAACAAAGGGGACATTACAAAGGTACTCAAACTATCCAACCATGAGCGAACTCGTAACAATGGTTTTAAATTAGACAAATTTAGATTTAGGTGTGAAATAGGTAAACACTGGTTTGGAAACAGAGTAGTGGATGAATGGAACAAGTTACCAAATATCATCATTAACTCGAATATGCTGAATAGCTTCAAACATTGGTTGGATGCATATATGAGCAATAGGGGTTGGGTGTAAACGGGACTGCCCAGTATGGGACAATAGGCCCGCTGCAGTTTCCTCCATTCTTATGTTCTTATGTTCATCCTCGACACCGGCTCCTACTACCACCTGAGATCCCTAGCCCGAGAATTGCTGTTCGACACCACAACCGCATCCAGCCCATACGTGCACGAACTGATCGCTATAAGAACAGCCCAGTCCCAACCATTGTAAAAATTATCAATAACTTGTAATAGACCAGTGTATTCATTCCCAGTAAACACTACTCCTTGCACTGTCACTATGTTGAAATGCCCTGTAGTTTGAGCTTTTCCCCATCTAGTTATAATATATCTTATTTGTATCACTTATGTTACTTGTATATTATTTGTAAATCGAAACCCATTCCCCAATTATGTAACTGTATATTTTCAGCCTTCTGGCTGCTATGCTCTTTCAATAAACCGTTAATTATTATTATCTCACACACACACACACACACACACACACACACACACACACACACACACACACACTCACAGCAACAAAACAATGATGACAGCAGGAGAAGGTAAAAGAAGGCAGTAACAGAGGGGGCACACACAAGCAGAGGAGGGGGAGAGGGGGGAGGGGCAACAGGGAACCGGACACCTCCCCTACAGCAACACAAGTAGACAACCGTGCACGATATAGGCAACATATGCAACAAACTACACAACCAAATTGAATATCGTAAATTAAGAAGACTGCAACATGTCGCTTGAGGGAGAGAGTGAACAGCAACACCGAGACCAGACAATGGTGCGGATATAAGTCAACCAGAACCAGACACAATGATTGATAACGAAAGAGATGCAAGGAGGAGGAGGAGGAACAGGAGGAACAGGAGTAACAAAAGAAATATGAGGAAGGGGAAGAAGGAAAAAACACGATAATTAGGACGTAAATATGGACACAAAGAAGAAGAGAGAATAAGGAAAAATAGCAATTAAGGAAGTGAAAAAATAAGGACACTGCATTTGAGAGAGAGAGAGAGAGAGAGAGAGAGAGAGAGAGAGAGAGAGAGGTCTTGCTTGTGAGAAGAGACAAGACCTCGAGGACAACCGGTCACCAGTACCACCTCGAGGACGACCGGTCACCAGTACCACCTCGAGGACGACCGGTCACCAGTACCACCTCGAGGACACACGGTCACCAGTACCGCCTCGAGGACGACCGGTCACCAGCACCACCTCGAGGGGCACACGGTCACCAGTGCCACCTCGGACGACCGGTCACCAAGTACCACCTCCGGGACGATAGGGTCACCAGTACCACCTCGAGGACGACCGGTCACCAGTACCACCTAGAGGACGACCGGTCGCAGTACCACCTCGAGGACGACCGGTCACCAATGCCACCTCGAGAACAGCCGGTCACCAGTACCACCTCGAGGGACACGATCACCAGTACCACCTCGAGGACGACCGGTCACCAGTACTACCTCGAGAACAGCCGGTCTCCAGTACCACCTCGGACGACCGCTCACCAGTACCACCTCGAGGACAACCGGTCTGAGTACCACCACCTCGAGGACAGCCGGTCCACAATTACCACCTCGGGGACGACCGGTCACCAGTACCACCTCTCGGGGACAACCGGTCACCAGTACCACCTCGAGGACGGCCAAGTCACCGTGCACCACCCCTCCAGGGACGACCAGTCACCAGTACCACCTCGGACGACCAGTCCTGAAGTACTACCTCGAGGACGACCGGTCACCAGTACCACCTCGAGGACGACCATTAACCCGAGTACCACCTCGAGGACGACCGGTCACCGATACCACCACAGGGACGACCGGTCACCAGTACCACGAGGACGACCAGTCACAGTACCACCTCGAGGACGACCGGTCACCAGTGCCACCTCGGACGACCAGTAACCAATGCCACCTCGAGGACGACCGATTCACCAGTACCACCTCGAGGACACACGGTCACCAGTACCACCTCGAGGACACACGGTCACCAGTACCACCTCGAGGACAACCGGTCACCAGTACCACCTCGAGGACACACGGTCACCAGTACCACCTCGAGGACACACGGTCACCAGTACCACCACGAGGACAGCTGGGTTGAGGTTACTTTACCTTGCATCACTCACACAACTATTGCACGCAGGGCCTACGACACACGCAAACTGTCTCCTTGCACGCTAAATATGTCGCAATGCTGCTCTAGATAATGTATCGCACGCAAGACTGTTTCCCTGCTCTCTCTCTCTCTCTCTCTCTCTCTCTCTCTCTCTCTCTCTCTCTCTCTCTCTCTCTCTCTCTCTCTCTCTCTGTGTTCAACTCGTCGACAACCGCAAGTAACGTATCTTTGCAAGCAACACCTTTCGTAAAATGATGCTCTGGTATACGACTAACACGCAGAACCTCTCTCAATGTTCTGCAGGTTAAGATACGCACGCAAACTTCATCTCTCTCTCTCTCTCTCTCTCTCTCTCTCTCTCTCTCTCTTTGTCTTTGTATGTTTGTGTGTACGTGTGTGTATGTGAAAAACACGTACATGGTGAGCGTGTGTGTGTGTGTGTGTGTGTGTGTGTGTGTGTGTGTGTGTGTGTGTGTGTGTGTGTGTGTGTGTACGTGCGCGTGTTTGTGCGTGCGCGTGTGTGTATATGTATGTATGTATGTATGTGTGTGTGTGTGTACTATATGTATGTGTGTGCGTGTGTGCGTATGTATGTGTATGTATGTATGTATGTATGTATGTGTGTATGTATGTGTGTATGTATGTATGTATGTATGCATGTATGTATGTATGTGTGTGTATGTATGTATGTATGTATGTATGTATGTATGCGTGTGTGTGTGTGTGTGTGTGTGCGCAGGTTTAAATGGCCGGCACAGTAGGTAGGTCGGGCAGGGAGAGGGCAGGGGAGAGGGGCCAGGTATGCAGAGATGAAAGGTGAGTATGGAGAGGAACGAGTGAGAGGGGTGAGGGGGCAGGTAAGAGAGCACAGTAGGGGGTGCACAAAGGGCCCTAGGGTGCACAATAGAGACTAACTGCGTGCACAATACCCCCTTAGGAGTTTGCCCTCACTGCCCGCTGGTATTGCTTCCGTCACTACACAACCTACCGTCTGTGGTGCTGCACGAACTCTCTCTCACACACACCCACGAACCTCTCTACAAATGACGTTACGATATAGAACTATTCTTTTAAACATTAAAACACTTGAATGACAGACCGGACATTCATATAATCGCCGGAAGATGACTCAACTGGAGGGGGAATCTAAGACTGTCATGCCTCATTCTGTACCAGTATGTCACTGGCACCCTCCTCTCATTACCTTCCCTCCTCCTTACTACCTTCTCACCTCCACTCCCCCTACCTCATCACTACCTTCCCTCACCCCTCTACCTTCCACCTCTCCTACCTTCCTACCCTCCTCACCCCACTCACCCCTCACTACCTTCCCTCACCCCTCACTACCTTCCCTCACCTCTCACTATCTTCCCTCACTTCTCATTACCTTCCTCACCCCTCACTACCTTCCCTCACCCCTCACTACCTTCCCTCTCACCTCTCCCACTTCCCTCACCCCCTCACTACCACCCCTCACCCTCACTACATCCCTCACCTCCTCACCTTCCCTCACCCCTCTCTACCTTCCCTCACCCTCCACTACTTCCCTCCCCACCTCTCACTACCCCAAGACGTGAGAGTCAACAAAACACTGATGACTGGTGTGAAAGCAGGACAGGCAGGACACGGGAGGCAGGACAGAGCAGGACACAGGGCAGGACAGGAAGCAGGACACAGGAGGCAGGACAGAGCAGGGACACGGGAGGCCAGGAACATAGGAGACACAGGCAGGACAGATGGACACGGGAGGCAGGAAGAGCAACACAGGAGGCAGGACAGAGCAGGACACAGAGGCAGGACAGATGAGGACAGGAGCCAGGACAGAGCAGCACACGGGAGGCAGGACAGAGCAGGACACGGGAGGCAGGACAGAGCACCGGGAGGCAGGACAGTGACTCCTACCAGTGATCAGTGTGTAGAAGGGATGGATGGAGGGAGGGGACCGTTAGCTTCCTTTCATCACCGTCTACCACCATCTGTGACGCCCAAGGCAAAAAAACCTCACACACTGGACTCTACCTGCCACCAAGCTACTAGGGACAAGAGACACCTAAGGCACCAGGACAGGACAGGTGAAAAACTATGGCTCTCTCCTCCTCCTTGAGTGTTCCTCTTGTACTACCTCTTGTTCTCTTCTACAACAACCACGACAACAGAGGTGAAGACCAAAAAAAAAGAAAATAATGTTACGTGTTATGTTGAAGGCGAAAGGAGAAGCAGAGACACTACAACACAACACAACACAACACAAAGACAACACTAAAACAAGACAACCCAACACAAAAGACACTAACACAACATAAAGACAACACTAAGACAACACTAAGACAACACTAAAGACAACACTGAGACAACATTAACACCCTGAGACAACATTAACAAAACACTGAGACAACACACCACAACACTGAAACAACATTAACACAACACTGAGACAACATTAACACAACACTAATGCAAAACATTGTAAAATTGCAAAGATAATTTATAACCCTCATATCTACTCTCTCTTTCTCGCGTGTGTGTGTGTGTGTGTGTGTGTGTGTGTGTTGTTGTGTGTGTGTGTGTGTGTGCTATCACTCTCACACACTCCTCTCACTCTTTCTTTCCAGTACTCTCATATAACTTACACTCCCTCCCTCTCACCACCACACACTCCCTCCCTCTCACCACCACACACTCCCTCCCCTCACACCACACACCTCCCTCCCTCTCCCACCACCCCACTCCCTCCCTCTCCCACCACACCTCCCTCCCTCTCACCCACACACTCCCTCCCTCTCCACCATCCCACCTCCCTCCCCTCTCACCACCACCTCCCCTCCCCTCCTCCACCACCACCACACCTCCCTCCCTCTCACCACCACCCCACACCTCCCTCCCCTCTCCCACCACCACCACACACTCCCTCCCTCTACCACACACTCCCCTCCCCTCTCACCACCACCTCCTCCCCTCTCACCCACCACACACTCCTCCCCTCTCCCCACCCACACACCTCCCTCCCTCTCCACCACCACACCTCCTCTCTCTCACCCCCACACACCTCCCTCCCTCTCACCATCCTCCCCTCCCTCCCTCTCACCCCTCCCTCCCTCCCCACCACACTCCCTCTCTCTCCCCACCACCACACCTCCCTCCCTCTCCCCACCATTACACTCCCTCCCACCTCCCTCCCTCTCACCACCCACATCATGTAGTCCACCAGAATACACTGAGAGAGAGAGATTAAACCAAACTCAACATCCGGGCTCAGTCATGGTGATGCTGACCCTCACCTAATAACTTCTCATCAGTTGTATATTAATAATAAAAGTCCTTAAATACATTATATATCAATAGGAAAATAATATACTCTAATTATTATTTCCGAAGAAGTAAAAGTCACTCAAAAAAAAATATATACAATTGTGTTGAAAAATATGACACAATGGACGAAGGATTTGACAACCCCACCGAGACAACAGGAGTCACAGTGTTCATTGAGGCATCCATCGATCACCCCAGTAGAGACAGTTTTGGGACCAACATTACACCTCCTGCACTAACCCTCTTGTGCCCTCGATGCGGTGACTATTGTACTGATGTTTGTCCAGGCACACAATTCTCTTCTTTTACTCTTCCTCTTCCTCCTTCTTCTTCTTCCCCTCCATCCACCTCCTCCTCCTGCCCTCAACTCCCCCTTCACCCTCCCACTGACCCTCCCTCCTCCTCCTCCTCTCTTGTGTTAAAGTTCTCATTCACTATTTTACACGTCGTCTGCTCCTTCTTCCCGCCCTTTCTTCTCCCCTCCTCTCTTTGTGTCTCCTTCCTGTACTCTCTCTCTCTCTCTCTCTCTCTCTCTCTCTCCCCTTTCTCCTTCCCTCTCTCTCTCTCCTTCCCCCTCACTTTATTTTTTTTTCCTCTCCGGAGTTTGCTTTATGTTTCCCTCGTCCTCCCTACCTCAGCCTCTCATCCACCTCCACTACCTCCAGCCTCTCATCCACCTCCACTACCTCCAGCCTCTCATCCACCTCCACTACCTCCAGCCTCTCATCCCCTCCACTACCTCCAGCCTCTCATCCACCTCCACTACCTCCAGCCTCTCATCCCCTCCACCACCTCCAGCCTCTCATCCACCTCCACTACCTCCAGCCTCTCATCCACCTCCACTACCTCCAGCCTCATCCCACCTCCACCTCCAGCCTCATCCCCTCCACCTACCTCCAGCCTCTCATCCCACCTCCACCTCAGCCTCTCATCCACCTCCACCTCCAGCCTCTCATCCCACCTCTACCTCCAGCCTCTCATCCCACCTCCACTACCTCCAGCCTCTCATCCACCTCCTACCTCCAGCCTCTCCTCCACTACTCTTCACTTCTCGCCCACTCTGGTATGCTCCCTCTCACCACTCATCATAGTGAGGGAGAGACAATCCTACACTTAACACTAGGCTACTTCCCGCTGGTCAAGGTGTCAGCAGGAAGTGAGCGTGGTGGTGGGCGTGGTGGTAGGCGTGGTGGTGGGCGTGGTAGTGGGCGTGTGTTGGTGTGGTGTGGGCGTGGTGGGCGTGGTGGTGGGCGTGGTGGGCGTGGTGGTGAGCGTGGTGGTGGGCGTGGTGGTGAGCGTGGTGGGCGTGGTGGTGGGCGTGGTGGTGGGCGTGGTGGTGGTGGTGGGCGTGGTGGTGAACGTGGTGGTGGGCGTGGTGGTGAGCGTTTGTGGCGTGGTGGTGGGCGTGGTGTTGGCGTGGTGGTGAAGGCGTGGTGTGAGCGTGGTAACAAGCGTCGTGGGGTCACCTTTGTTTTACCTGTGTGGCCGTCATTCTCGTGGGGGGTGTGGGCGGGGGGACGGGAGGAGAAGCAAGTCAGGTTGAGGTTGTCAGGTAGATCCGTGGCTGTGTGTGTGTGTGTGTGTGTGTGTGTGTGTGTGATCATCAGTTCCCTGTGTAAGGTGGCGTCTCTCCACAAGTTCTGTTGTTAAAAAACAATAACTGCAAGAGTCTCCCAG